CGCAGAGAGCAGTCGTTACCCTGTTTTAATACCGTTCTGGCTACGCGAAATTTTGTCGTGTTTATTCGAGACCAAAAGGTAGCTTCGCTGTGACGCCGGTTTTAATCCCGCTTTAACTTGCTACAAACTTATACATTAAAAAGGTATTAGCGATACGCGATACATTAACAGAATATTAGCTACGGGCAAACAGCGTGGAGTCTGGATGAAGTACTAAAGAGATTGTTTAGCAAGTTGTAAGTTTCATACAGAGGGTTGATGAGTGATACAGCTAAATGCGAGGTAGTTCTATGAACAAAAGTGTAATACGCGCGTTAAATGCTTCAATGTGTTTTCTAAAAATTAAACGTATTCCATACTGTAATGAATATGAATAAAAGTTAACTCAGTATTGTGATCAATTTGTACGAGAGAGAAGCAAAATTGTGATCTCGACAATATCGAGTAACGAATGACAGAAAAAAGCACCTCGTCATTTGTTCGTAGAATATCGTTTTCTTTCTAGAGAAACGAATCGAGGACAACTTGATTCAATTTCATCGAAACCTTTTTTTGTTATGAGAGAATGTTACAAGAAATATATAAATAAATACATTTTGAATTCATTTCTCCTGAAATCCTACCATATTTCAATCGTTCTTGAAAATGAATTTTTATTCTGAACCATAATTGTTATAAATAAATAATTAAGTTTGTGAGTATTAAGGATTTTTTCTAGCTTCAAGCCCCAAAAATTAAATGATATTTCAACTATTATCTTCGTGTATAGAATTACGGCACACCAAAGTAAAATATCGAGTCCTCTTCAATAACGAAGATTAACATTCACGAACCTGAGAGAATGGTGGAATTGTAAAATCTATCGGTAAGCACGCCGAAATCACAGAACTAGCCCAGTACTACCAATCTAATCCACTTGAATCGAAATAATGCTTTTCTAGTGTGTACAATCTATTCTAAAAGTCATGTCCGTGAAATACGGCCATGTATTTTCACCGTTGAGCGTTCGTAATGCCAGGAATTTTTCCCATTGTCGCGAAATAGCTTCTCAAACAAAAAAAATGAACGTATATTATTTTTCCGTGACTGTGACATGAACCCGTGACAAAAGCGGCAACATTCCCCAGCAGCAAATCCCCCAGGGAAGTTGCACTTTCGGCTAGCTCTCTCGTGCTCCCGCACTCGAGTTCTCCATAATTTATCGGCGTTATTCGCGTCGTTTCGAGTATACTTTGCCGTCGTTTCGGAGTCGACTATCGATCGCCACCGCTGGGCGCATACACCGGCAAGAAATTAATTTCGTATGCACCCCTCCGACGCGAGACAGGATAACAAGTTGAATCGCAGAATGCATCGGGCCTGGTATTGTAATCCTGCTTGTATCTCTGAGCTGCGACTTCTACCAGATCGAACGTATCCATGTGCTCGATAGTCAATATCGAGGAACGAGTAAATACCGTTCAAAGTACTTCCTCTAAGCTTTAGGTGGACCTTTATGGGTTTCGGGTAGTGGAAACTTCGGAACAGTTTAATTTAACGTGTAGTAGTATATTCCAGCTATTAAAAGTAATTAAAGTAGATGAATATAGAGTGTCGTTCAATATTTAATTCTTTTGTGACTTTTGCAAGACATTGTGTACTTGTTGTGCTAGGTATTCTCTCTAATACCTCAAACAAAGCTGACTCCTTCGAGATCGAATGCGATCAAGAACTCGACGGTCAACATTGGGACGAGTAAATACAGTAGAAGGTATTGTGTAGAAGCTGCACGTTGATCTTTCTTGAATCAAGATCGTGGAAGCTTTGAAGCATTTGGGTATAGTACGAAATACATTATTGCAATGATTGGAAATAGTTGCATTAAATAAATTTGAAGAATCAAGAATTATAATTATGTGATGTATTAGAAGGAAAAAAAGTCCTGAGCTGATTTCATACAACCGAAACTATTATTATATTTTTTTCTATTTTCCCGCCCTTTTACAGTTGTAAAGCGTCGACATTCGGCTGTTGTGAAACATGTTTATACGGTGAAAGTATTACAGAGAAATTGTAATTACTTGAAGCTTAACATCATATATTGCATTGTTTGCAAATGCAAAAATGTACTTTTCAACTATAACACAACTACATGAAAATATAAATGCATTGAAATCACAACGTTACGCAATTGTAAAAATCGTAAAAATTTTCTTCAAGAAATCTCTAAGAATGAACACAAGTAATAAATGTTTGAAATTCTGCGATTGTCGTGAATTAGCATTTATTTCCCAGCTTCTAAGGTGCAAAATGCATATCGATTTGCGCATGGTCCAGTGGAAGAACCGTACGATTTCATTGGAGTCGCTGATCCGCAATTTTACGGTGAAATTTTTGGTCTACGAAGGGGTTGGAACGAGCTGACAGGATAACTCGGGGAAAGTAGGAAATACTCGGAGCTCGATAATTTTCACAAGTTACGGAGTACCCTGCCACCTCTGTGTACACTGAAACTCTCAAAGGAGCGCATACATTCTGCAAATACGAACGTTTCCCGCGAATTTAACGTGGATTAAGAAGAAATTTCATCCATTGGTATCCCTTTAAAACGTCTACTCTCTTCCGACGAGATTACGAAGCCATCGAAGCCTCGATAAACTGGGAAATTCAATAATCCAAGGCGAGCCAGAAAACTCACTGACCGGAAAACACGACTGAATGTTACATAACTGAAATCACTGATAAAATTAAACTTATATCGACATCTATCGGTTAAAATTAACTTGAGTTTATCATGAACAAAATAGGTATGAATGGAAATTCTGTGGCTTCACATTTTAAATCAGCAATTGTATTACTTGATCAAAGTTTAATTATAACATTTTGATCAGTTACGAAAATCAGTTATAAAATTAAATAGACATGACGTTGGCTCATAAGTTAGCTATAATATAAAGAATAGGTATAAATGAAATGAAAGAAATGTAATTTTTTGAATTGTTGAAATTCATCAGAGATGTAATTTAGTACAAATAGACGAGAAGAATGAACCTCTACCCGTTCAATGACATCAACGAAAAAATTATTTTTGAAAAACAAAATATAACCGACTTCGAAAAACATTAAAACTGCACTAAAATCATGAAATAATTACTAGTGTAGGGATGTAAGATCGCAGGAATAAACGGAAACGGGTTCTAAGGATAGAAGGAAAAGGTTCATTTATTAACAAACTGTACACTTTATTTTTTGGGAAAGGAATAGGTTTTACAGGGTTTTTCGGAAACAAAAACTCATCGCTTTCAGATCAAAATTTTAACAACATATATTATATACAGGTCATCAGGTCTTGATGAATTTGATGAAATTATTAAATAGAGTATATTAAATACAATGCAACCTTTTCGGAAGCGACGAGCTGAAAACAATGACGAATAAAATTGTTAAACACATTCTTTTTTATTTAACTAAAATAATCTTCATTCGCTATGTCTACATTATCACTGTTACCTTCCATAATCTTATTTTCATTCCTTTTCAAGTTCAATAGTTATAATTTAATAAAAAAAATATCGTCTAACATACATTTAAATATCGTTAAAGGCTACAAAATATCTAAATTTCGCAAAATTCCGAGATCTTACGCCGAGAAGTGTCTAATTTCGTATGGAATGACTGTTGGGGATGGCGAGGGAAGGAAGAGTTCGTCTGTTTTCTAAGGAGGGATTAAAGTGGAAAAAATTCAATACAGCAAACTGAAAAGCAGGATTGGATGTTACACGATTGTAGTCAAACGGATGCTGATACGGTTAGAGAAATTACTGTCACTTAAGTGCGATCGTTACCTGGAGCCACTAGCTGGAACGTCGTCTTGTATATCCAATTACTAGCTCCTTATCCCGTTTAAAGAATAGGGGACAAACCAGGGAAATAGGAGCTTCTAGGATCCATTATAGCGTTCCGCAAATAGATCCGTTCTGAGAGCACCAGCCGTTCATGCCACGTTTCGGAATAACAATAGGATGATCTTCTCTGTTTGGGAATGGAAGCGTTCTCCGACAGACTCTCCTTCCTGGTATTTGCTGGTACCTTCCTGACCAACCGGATATCAAGAACACTACGACGCCCTGTTCGCGAATTGCATGCCCTCTGGTGAACTCTGTTCTGCATTGTTAATTACGCAAACACCTATTGAACTTCCTATATCTCGATGAGCATTAACCAGTTTACCGTTTCCGGCGAGTACACCCGTCACGAGAAAATATCGATATTTTGTCTAATAACGAGAATGTGTACTTGTTATGCGTTATAAAAATACTAAGTAGTAAAATGCATTCAATTTTAATACGATTTAATATCTATATTTAAGATCTATTCCCATAACTCTGGTAGCATTCACATTTCATTATTATAAAAACTGGTGGGTTTATTATTACAAGATAAATTATGGTAATGTACCTTATCAGAGCTTCTAATTTTGCAAGTTCTTTACCCTTTAATCTATTTTGTAACAATCATAATAAATAATAGTCATTTCAAGCCGTGTCTGGAGAATACGGTTAGTAACCGTATTCTCTCGTAATAACGAGTTCCCACTTTAATTCTCTTAGCTTTTATCGAGTCAATAAAATAATTTTTAGAAAAAAAATATAATTGACTTCGAAAAAATATTTAAACTGCACTAAAAATTATGACATAATTTCTATTTCCTTTATATTAAATTATGTTAAATAACCTTTTTGTAGTCCGCGCAAAATTAAAAATTACTTACATTCAAAATTACCAACTTTGGTTTAACTTTCTGTTCGAGTGACAAGACATACACCCTTAAATTATTGCTATCATTATATATACTTTAGACACCATGTACATTAACATTATTCAATGTCGCCACCTCCACCAAATACTATCCCAAACCTACTCAGATAGTATTTTCATGTAGGTATGTAGTATATATATTAACTATATGCAATGTTGTTAATGTTTCCTGTCGTCGGCAATAGAAAAATGAAAAATGAATCTAAGAACTATAAAGTTTGATGTATTTGAAGTTGTTTCCACAGTTGTATTGGACTCGGAATCAACAGTGGTGCAATAGTAGTAATACGTTTCATTGTATATCGATGAAACATAAATTCAACTGGTAGGACGTACCCAACCACCGAAGGCCTTTTCCAACTCCCTAGCGACTCCTAAGCAAAGACGATCTTGATTCCTTCCAGCCATTACCTGAAACACAAATTTGCCAGAGTTTATTCGATCAAACAAACTTAGCAAATAAACCACGGTCCGATTAAATTTATCCGCAGCCTACTATTTGAAATAAATTTTGTCTAACTTTGGTTGTATTTTTCCACAATTACTTCAAGCGAAGATACCACTATATTGACTCTAACAAAAGATTCTATCCAAATTTTCAGTATGTTTTATTGAATTTATAAACAAACCAAAACCAGTATCATAATGTCTCACTGATGACTAGTTGACAGCTTTATGATCACGGGGTATATTTGAGATCAAGAAACCAAGAATTTTCATAAACTAGATATCTATGGCTCACGTACGATTTCTTAATATTTCACAAAAATAAAAAATCGTCGAATTTTACAGAAAAATGTAACATTTTAATTGAAAAGAAAAAAAAACAATTAAGAAAAAAAAATATCTACGTCAGGCCATAAAAACAAGTTTTCTGAGGAGAAAGTGGCTTGAATCATATCGATCGGACTCATAGTTTTCTCAGAAATCTGTGAACAAGATTATCAAGTGCCGTTTTGAGATGAACGTACAGTGGGTGTAGAAAGTATTCGTACACTAGAATAGATAGATTAAAAAAAAATAGCTATTTGTATAAGTTGCGAAATTAACAAGAAAAAAACAATTAATCGATAGAAATGTTGAAGCAATAAGTATTCGTACAATTGTTTAAGTTATAAACTTCATTAAAAAAAAAAAGAAATTTACATTAATTTGCAAGTATATAATACTTCCTCCGTGGGATTTCCTCTTGATTTTATAATTATTGTAACTTTTCTAAGCATTAAATCAACTAGAATATTAGATATTCGAAGTGGGATCTTTTTCCATTCCTCTATTAGAACCTTTTTTAAAAGTACATTTCTGAAAATTTGATGTTTTCTAATTCGAACGGAGCAATAAACTAATGTGTTTACGTTACAAACTCTACTGTAAATGGTTCGTCATAAGAATCGTACAAGTACTTATTGCTTCTATACTTTACTCACTTTTCGCATTTTTTTGTTAATTTCACAGATTATATTAACTAGTAAATGTTGTTTGGACTATATCTATCTTAGAGACTTCCGAGAATATGTAAAATATCATTGATTATAAAAAGAGAAGTTAAGAAACTACAATTTCACACAAAAGTTTTTTGGGATATTGATCGGTGTACAAATACATTCTACACAGTTTTATGGGAAATTGATCGGTGTACGAATACATTCTACACCCACTGTACATAAAGTTTCAGTAGTTTTCGAACAAATAGTTAACACTGCTTTACACTTGAGGCTGTAACTGTATCAATTCTAGAGATTTCTTTATCAAAATGTACCACAATATTCTTAAAATATGTGCCTTTCGGGGAATTCAAAAAACATTGATTTTTATAAAAAATTGCATAATGTTTTGCAGTTAGTAAAGTTTCAGTAGCCTTCAGTCGAGCGCTTACCACTGCTGCACACTCAAAGCTGTAATTCTAGCAATTTTACAGATTTCTTTCTGGAAATTTGAAATACGTAAATTTCAAGAAATGAAAGAAATCAGTTTTTAAAAATGTTATAGTGCTGTGCTCTCTTGTTCATTTATTTCAACCACTATATTCAATGCGATAATTGGAGACATAATCTCGACTGATAAGTCACAAATAGTCGAAGAAACGTTCCTCCAACTAATGATTACCTGAAACCCAATTGGCAATCCCTTGTTATTCAATCCCATTGGAACGTGTGTTGATGGCATATCCATCACATTAACAAACGTGGCATAATTTATAGCATCTGTTACAAAATTCATTGCTGTGTGGTAAGGTGCTGGTTGAGGAAATGTGGGGTATATGAATACACCGTCGCTGCCCAGTTGATTCTGTAAGCACATTTATAAGTCACAAAAGTTTGCTAAACATAATACACAAGTATGATTTGCATTGATTGGATGGAAATATACTCTCGTACGTTAATATTCTGACGCATCTTTTCCTTCATTACGTTGTACTGGGCATTTTTCGAAAGGGGAAGAAATCCACGATGCGCTATTATCATTTGAGAAACACTGACCAGGTATGATTCACTTCCGCAACCAAACATCGATTTTATGTAGTTGAATATCGCGTTCCTTGGTTCCTGTAAGGGAAATTATAGATAGTTATAGATATTATATACAAATTTATTTTACAACGCGTTTTAAAGTATGTGGAAACTGTCTTGAGAATCAAGCCTACATACCAATACAGATCAAAAATTTCTTTACCATTTTGCAAACTTCCTTATTGAGACATAAGCAAATGAAATTTACAGGTGTGACTTCCAGCGCGCGCTGTTTGAACCCTGATCAGCTATTCGAACCGCCACACATGTTTGAACTTACATAGGATAAATAAACACTGATGTACACTCACTGTTTAACGTAAATTTCAACTCAATCCTTAATAAAGGTCCCACATGTTTTGAAATACGCTATATATACGCATGCAGTACTGCTTTCGCAAATGCAGGTGTATTATATACACTAACAATAAGAAGAACACTGCAACGTGAGTATTACCTCGTAGTTAATGTCTCTAAGCGATTTCAACAATTCCCTGTCCTGGAATGAGGACCATAAGAATGTGGCCGAATTGCGTACCCAGTCCTGGGATATCTGAAATATGGAGAATCCTAATCTAAACATGCAACATTATAAAACTGTATCTCATCGTCAAAGAATAACAAGAATCAGGGTTGTCCTTTGTAATGAACGTTTGATGAAATAATAATGGTCAATAAGTAAAAGTATCATACGTCGAGCAACCCTTGAGCATTTATTATACATATATCCTTTTGAAAATTTTCAGCCGCAATGAGGAAAACATATGATATTTATTTCAAGTTTATGCTCCTCTTGTTTACGAATAAGATAATTACAATTCACCGTGTATTTCTCAATCGAAGGACACTTTATGGTCGTAGCGTACTAGATCGTTGAAACCATCTTTTAATCACTTACAACGTTATGAAGTTAAAATTACACAGCGCTATTAAAAAGGTCAAGGTGACTTTGGCTTTTTATGAAAAAAACGTTTGTTTGAAAATTATTCACATTAAAAATTGTAGCCAACTGAATACTAATTATCTTTGGTTCTAAACATTTTTTTCGTAAAATTGTCGGAAATGCCTGAATGATTTTGCAGACCGTTACGATAACCACCCTGTATGGAATGTAGAATTAAATATTAGGTTGTTCTAAAAGTTTCTCCCATGTCATTCATGAATAATACATACACAATATTCAATGTCTAATGTTACATAATCGAATTGCCTACGATTCATTTTGCTCTATTACTGGTATAACATTAACATCTAAGACATTAGGTTATTATTTATATAAATACTGCCACACAAAATAATTGAATGCAAGTCACGGAAGAAACCTCTGGGACAACCTAATACTATTTTAATTCCTGAAAATATTATTTTAAATCCAAAATGTTATGTACAGTGGGTGTAGAATGTATTCGTACACCAATCAATATCCCATAAAACTGTGTAGAATGTATTTGTACACCGATCAATATCCCAAAAAACTTTTGTGTGAAATTGTAGTTTCTTAACTTCTCTTTTTATAATCAATGATATTTTACATATTCTCGGAAGTCTCTAAGATAGATATAGTCCAAACAACATTTACTAGTTAATATAATCTGTGAAATTAACAAAAAAATGCGAAAAGTGAGTAAAGTATAGAAGCAATAAGTACTTGTACGATTCTTATGACGAACCATTTACAGTAGAGTTTGTAACGTAAACACATTAGTTTATTGCTCCGTTCGAATTAGAAAACATCAAATTTTCAGAAATGTACTTTTAAAAAAGGTTCTAATAGAGGAATGGAAAAAGATCCCACTTCGAATATCTAATATTCTAGTTGATTTAATGCTTAGAAAAGTTACAATAATTATAAAATCAAAAGGAAATCCCACGGAGGAAGTATTATATACTTGCAAATTAATGTAAATTTCTTTTTTTTTTTAATGAAGTTTATAACTTAAACAATTGTACGAATACTTATTGCTTCAACATTTCTATCGATTAATTGTTTTTTTCTTGTTAATTTTGCAACTTATATAAATAGCTATTTTTTTTCAATCTATCTATTCTAGAGATTTTCGAGAATATGTAGAGTGTCATTGTTTATAAAAAATAAGTTAATAAATTACAATTTTACACAGTTTTCTATTTTTAAATTGATCGGTGTACGAATACTTTCTACACCCCTTGTACGTTCATCTCAAAACGGCACTTGATAATCTTGTTGACAGATTTCTGAGAAAACTATGAGTCCGATTGATATGATTCAATCCACTTTCTCCTCAGAAAACTTGTTTTTATGGCCTGACGTAGATATTTTTATCTATGTAATATCATTGAAATCGAAAAAATACAATACAATAATAAATGCTCGAGGTGCTACATTCAATCATAAGTTTACTTTGTCATTGAAAATGATAATAACTCATTAAAAGAAAGCAATACTTTTTTAAGGTTTAAAATCGTATCGAATACTCTGATCCTTTAAAAATGAAGATCATACAATTAATTTTTAGTCAATTTAATTATTACGTGTTCGACGCGTGCACCGTTTCCTGATAGGTAACGTAACGCTTTTCTAATTGATTGTCGTACATCCGATGTGGTCGACCTTATGCCGCAAAAGCTTTCGATATTTTCTACGTAAAATATTCGAAGATTTTTCACGTCCAACGGCTTGTCCAAATGTAATGGTATGTCGCAATCGACAGACATCACTTTCACAGCCAAAATAAGATCTTCTGCATATCTTGCCAGAGGACCTTGCACAAACATCGAGATTTGTGAGTAGTCCGGCATGTGTCCCTTGTTAGGAATAATTCCTGTGAACAAACACTCAATGAAGAAAAAATAAACATATTACTAAAATAAAACTGTTAAACAATGATTTTTATCAAGAATCAACGCCTCTTTTTCGTGGGGAAAATGCGCCTTATGTATACCTCGGCCCCACTATGGGGAGCTCACTTTCCTTGACGGACAAAGCATACGCACAAACGCTCCACGATGAAAAAAAAATCATTTTAAACTTAAATTTTTGAATTTTTCAAGAAGTTTGTGACTTTAGTGGCCTGAACATAATAGTTATTTTTGCGATATCAAAACTATCATAGCTTACATCACGGTTAGAAGTATATTTCATATCTATGCACAATTGTAACTGTACCCAAAATGCGAATTTTTAGGATATCGCGTTAACATACTTAAAAAATATGGTTTAGAGAAGCATGCGTTTAATGTTTCACGTTCAATTAGCCAAGTGAAACGGTTAGCAATTATGAAATATTGTAAAATACAATTTGGTAGAAATATTTGGGAGACCTTAACCATCAAGAATATAAAAAAAAATCTATATCTTAACACAGAAAAAAACAGTAGTCCATCAACGAAAGCTAAAGTCATCTTTTCTGTGATTTTGTGATTGTTTAAGATATTCAAGCGCACAAACTTTGCAGTGTTTATCATTTTTCAAGAAAATTATCATTACAATTTAATTTCACCTTGTTTCGATCAGGAAAGATAGATCTGTCAGCATGATTTTACTTGAGTTCCTTTACTGATTTTCACAAAACGAAAATAATTTCATTTTTAATTTTTAATTAATTTTATTATTTTCGTCTTGCAAATTTCATCCATAGATCAACTTTCGAAGTATTTGGTAAAATAGAATTACAACTCGCCGAAATTTGTCGACGTACCTGGAGTAGGTTTATGGCCGAAAACACCATTGTAAAGACTTGGTATTCTTATAGATCCCATCAAATCCGAACCGATTCCAAGTATGGATGCCCCTGCACCAAGCAATGCACCCTGCAATAATTAATAAAGTAGATCATTGCTCTCTAGTCTTCAGACTCTGTCTCCAATAGCGAAAATATAAAAGGGTCCGTTAATTTTGTTTCGTATTTATTTACTAATATTAGGTCAGTAAACAATGTCTACAACATTTTAATGAAAAATTGCAGAAACATTTATTTCATAGTTTTGAAAAATATGAAAGAAATTGTAATTTAATTCTACTGTGAGTTACGGATTACTTTGATATACATAGATTCTTTTAGGCAATAGTGTAAACGTATTTAAAATTTAACCCTTTGCACTCGAGTGGTGTCGATACGAGCCCGGCCGATTTGAACTGTCAACTCGAGCGGCGCTGCTGCGGCGCCCGAGTGATTTGAAGTCTTAAATGGTGGCGTATGCTTTTTTGGGGGGCATGGAAATTTCTCTGATCAATTCATACATTTTGTATAAACTAGAAAAGACCAAAAAAAAAAGGGAAAGCCATTGAACCATCTGCGATTTCTGAAAACACTTGTCGAACAATTGAGAGGATTATATCGCCAGCAACGAGTGCAAGTGTCTACGTCGCATTCCGATGAAATCCGACTAAACCAGAAGCTTCACGTAATACTAAAAGAGCCAAAAAGGAACTGCAAGATTTGTTCTGACTGTAACACGCCTGGAGGTAACCGGGAAATTTCGTATTACTGTGATGCGTAACAACTGACATACGTGTCCTGACAAACCTAGGATGCATCTTGGATATCGTTTTCCAAAATATCACACCAAAACTAAGTACAGAGTGTAATATTTATCGAAGTTTGTTAGTTTCGACATATAAATGAATAAACTGGTGGAATTTTATTATTTGTATACGTTTGTTTGTTTATAAATGTTTTTAAAGTACTTTTAAAGTGTTTGCCGAATTTGGCCGAAATCGTCTGGAGTTTCTGGTTCGCACAAGCGAAAAAAATCTCGAGTGCAAAGGGTTAAATCATAGGACGTCTTACCTCTCCCCCCGATGATCCCCCTGCAGTTCTCCTTGTATCATATGGATTCCTTGACAAACCATAAATGGGATTGTCGGAATGCAGTGTTAAACATAACACCGAGGTATTGGTAACGCATAGAGGTATAGCACCTGCTCTCTTAAGCATTTGTACTAATGCTCCATCTTTAAGAGCCTTCATTCCTTTTTTCTTACGGTAGCCTCCCGTTAGACTCAGTCCTGATTTAAAGAATAATTTGAATCGTACATAATTATGCCAGTCTCAATGTCAGCAGCGAGCCTATGATGTCTAAAATATATGGTGCCATTTAAAAATGTCAAGACCTTTACTTGTGACTGGGCAGACTTTTTCTGCCCGTCACGAAAGCGCCCTGGCCCCAGAAAGGCCTCATTCCCTCCTCGCCGGACACCCCAGTCCAGAGGTGGTCCGCGAGAGTGGAGGTATGTATGTTCGCGGGATAATGGAACTTTCCCGGTCGCGCCACTTCACCCTTCGCGGATAGAGCCGCGTCTTCGCGCGAGCGTGGCAGGTCGCCGGTCGCGGTGTCCTCCACCCCAGAACCCCAAGCAAAGTATTACCTGGACGAAATGTTACCTCCGGTAGAGTCCCGCCCCGAGGGGCCAAGGTGGTGGTTTTTAGTGAGTATACTGGAATCCCACACTACCCCCTCCCACATCTGGATGGTGTCTTCTTGAAGATTTTCCACCACCTCGGTAATAAAAAAAAAGGACCCCGGTGTGGCCGCCACCAGGAGGACTCGTCACCCTCCAAGGATGGTCCGCCCTGCCATCGCCCCGCAGCTGCCATGGGAGAAACAGCCGTTGACAACATTTCCAGAACAACTGGAGATGCCATGGTGGTGGCACACCGTAAGGAACCCCTACAGCCCCTGGGTGGAGAGAGCCGCGAGTTGCCGCGGCGGCGAGAAGAGCGCCGATCGATGCGCGATCGATTTTGGAAAAATGAATTAACAGTTAACCGCGGGGCAAAACGGAGTACGTGCGACGAGCGAGCAGCCCAGATTGTTAGAGCCATGAGTTCCTTTTTTTTATTGCTATCGTGCGGGTGTGTGTGGGTGCGCTTCCACGCCATCCTCAAGAGAGGACCTCAGAGAGATCTGGGATCTAGAGACCTGCGAAATTCAAGTAGGGCCCACTGGCTGGGTTCCCTTTTGTAGCGTGTGTGTCCGCGAGCGTGCTTCGGAGCACCCTTTTCGTCCGCGACAGGATCACCACCGGAGGCGAAACCCTTTGGAGTTCCCTCCGTCCGTTTCGCGAATCTCCCGCGTGACCTTGCGCGGTTTGAGGACGCGCCGCGTTTCAAAGGAAAGGGTCCCTTCGAAACGCAAGACCGTTAATTACCGGCGTTATCTTCTTTTTCGGTTGATTTTCATTCTAGGGCGGACTATCTGTTTGCGATGCCCTCATAGAGTAAGTCGCGCCGGCTTTTCGTGCCGCGTATCCTCTTCGGCGCATAGACTATTAGTCGCCACACCCTTCTCCTCGACGGTGTGTGTTCCGCGGAATTCCCCTCGTAGCTTTCGAGTGAATAAAAGTTCAATTAAACGTACGCGGATCAAAGTTATTTCCTTCCTTTCGACCTCCCCTGAGTTTCGCTCTTCTCTAGAGCAGCCGGAAGGACGAAGGTAGCGGACACGTGCACTTGGCGGCTTTCCCGACTGCCCACGCGCGGTTCGTCACATACTTTTCATTCGAAGTAAGCATTTTTTCAGATTTAATAATATGAGACCATGTAGCTCACTGAATACTGGTGAACATTTGTTAAAAACATTTTTTAATTGCACTAACGGAAATACCTAGAAAATGGTGTCGAAGCATTTTTGGTAGTCCCTTTATGTAATTAATAATTTATAGAAATTGTAAAATATTTGTGAAAATATCATAAAAAGAATTAAATGTTTCGTAAAACAGTTGAGTAAATTTTTCTTCTCTCTTCTAACAAAGAAGAAATTGATTAAATTAGTTCTTTCATTTTTAGGTATTTTATTATGCATTTACCATGAAACATTTTTCTTAATAGATTTGTTCACTTTTTCATTTCTAATGAATGTATAATGTATATTTGTTATGAAGCTTCTTTTTCCGTTCTCGGTATATTTTTAGAACTCTTTGTCTTGTTTACCTCCTGTCTCCTAGAGAATACTAAATACGATATACAAGGAGTCTTATTACAATCGCGTTATGTAACAAAAGTGTGAGTAGTTACTAAGTAAGGAGACTCGTTTATTATGTTTATCGAAAGTAAGGTATGCACTCATATACATACATTTAAGTATGCATCTTGCGGTATCATAAATAAAAAATAATGCCATGCAAGTTATACTCAGGTTTGCTTTAAATAGATTCTAGTGGAAGCTTCTTACCTGCAACGGAACAGGATTCCTTGACGGTAAATGGTATTCCAAAAAGCGGTTTTTCATTTTCCAGCATAATGGCGGTAACTTCGCCTGATTTCAGCTTTGCGTCGCATATTTTCGCGTCGTTCACTGCTTCTACGAATCGATCATCTACTACCGCGTTTATAAATGGATTCACTTCTTTAATTCGCTCAATGTATGCTTCCACTATCGTCTGGCTAGAAAGCTGTAAGTGGAGCAATTATGTTAAAACATGTAAATTACTGTAAGGTAAGTAAAACATTTTTCTCCATCCGAAGAATCTACTGGTATACTTATAGCATCACAAGTACACTATTTTAAAAGTGCCAATGTGTTTGTTTAATTCTTATATGAATAGTGACTATTATTCTTATTGGACGTTGAGTTACTTTTATAACGTTTCAGATATTGGGTTTTTATTATTATAAATTAAATCTTTGTACTTTTGAACAAGTTATTTCCTTATTATATTACATAACTAAATATCTTTGCATTGCTTAGTACCTCATTAGGTACTGAAAAACGTTCACTGTTTGTTAATTATATACAGGGTTTACAAAAAGTATCGGACCATCCCATATCTTAGAATCTATGCATTATTGGGAAAAATGACTCGACACCAACGTTGAGGTTAAAACAAATTTGTTTTCTTGTAATTTGAAATTGGTCCTTGTCTATAACCTTGAAGGTCACTAGAAGGGCGACTTTCATTTTTCAAGTAGAAACCCTTATTTTTGAGGCCAGATTCGGAAAGAGCGGGAAACCTGACGTTCAAATATAGTCTCATTTCGGAGGTCACCGTGACCCCTAGAGATCATTTTGAGGTCAAAGGAGTTGAAACCATGGAATTTTTCGAACAAATATGTGGTCATAAGGGATGACTCGGGTAAAGGTTATAGAGATTAAAAGGGACCATAAGGTGATTTGAGCTTTACCTCGGGGTAAATTTTAGGGGTCATTCTAAGATCAATTCGATTTTTTCGAACGGATACGCCTATTCACGACACCAGATTCGGAAAGAAGTGGAAACTTGACATTCGTATAGCTTAACATTTTAGGGGTAGGTACTTGCACTAAGCAAGAACCTCGAATTGTGAGTGACAAGAAGATTCACGTCAATCAAACATCCCAGAGGTGTCAGATTCTCACATCTTTGTTCTTTATCCTTAGATAAAATTAAGAGTACCTACCCATGAAATGTCAAACTATCCGAACGTCAAGTTCCCACCTATTTCCGAATCTAGTGTTGTGAATAGGCGTATCCGCTCGAAAAAATCGAATTGACCTTAGAATGACCCCTAAAATTGACCCCGAGGTAAAGCTCAAATCACCTTATGGTCCCTTTTAATCTCTACAACCTTTACCCGAGTCATCCCTTATGATCACATATTTGTACGAAAAAATGCCATATGTTCTGCGACGGTTTTACGATTACTTCTAGCGATCTCGTCTGATGGCTAACATCCTAAAGCTCACTCTCCGTCGTCACCGCTTTATAATATTCATCCCCTCCTGAGTCTTCTACCAAACTCCATCGAACCTTCAAGATTCGACACGTGCCTTTGGCGTTCTTTTCGCGCCCGACTCGCGGCTCCGCGTCCAGACACAAAGCCCGCTCGCCGATGATCGCTCGGCACTCGCCGTCAAACGGGCGCGGCCTGTACTTTGACAGTGTCGTTTGATATTCCTTCCCTAACGATCCCTTTCTACACGCGAACAGTTCGCCGACTAATCGCGGCAATTAGTAAACCCATTTAACAATAACTCTACCAAGATCAATCGGTGCGTTGCATTCGGGCGCTTATGATCTCGTAGATAGCCTTCCGGTCGCGGTACGAGTTGCCCCGTCCACGCCCGGTTCTTACCTCTCTCGAGCAGCATGGGCTCTCGATGCTATGGTAAGGAGTCACCACTCCTGGTCAGTTGTTAGCTGCCGTTGTTACGACGACATTTGCCACTCCCGAGCAGTTTTGTACTCTCGGTGCTACGGCAAATTACGGCCACGGATTTCCCCGTGCACGTAAAGGCTTCTAGTCATGAGCGAACCCATCAACTACTGATTCTGACCGTCAGCGCCCGAAATCGCCTACTTCCCCATTGGAAGTATCGTTAACGCACTAAATGATACATTAAATGATATGGTATTAAATGGTATCCTCTGTAACCTCCTTTTTCTTTTTTTATGCTTTATTATTTCTATCACATTCTGTTCATAACACCACGGTTTCAACTCTTTTGACCTCAGAATGATCTGTAGGAGTCACGGTGACCTCCGAAATGAGACTATATTTGAACGTTAGGTTTCCCGCTCTTTCCGAATCTGGCCTCAAAATAAGGGGTGGGTCCGTTAATTTTTGATATATCTATACTTGCAATTTTAATATGAATTTATTATATATATTATATATATATTATATATATATTATATATATACATTATATATTATATACATTATATATATATATTATATATTATATATATTATATATATAATAAATTCATATTAAAATAGCGAATATTCATAAAAAGCGGAACATGAATTGAAAGTTTGAATAAGTTTTCCAATAATATAGTAATGTAAAAATTAAACATCCGTTTGCTTGATATTTATTACACATACAACAAGAAATAATACGAATTGAATACATGATTTCCACGCTTCTAATTAAAGTCAATGTTTTATCGCTGTGGATACATGCGTTGCTTTTTCTTTCACCACAGACAGATTTATCACGTGACGAAATAAAAATTGTGGAGTAAATCACTATAAAGATCATAAATACGTAGAATTCTCATTCTTGTATATTAATTATGAGGCGTAGTAGCATGTTCAATTGAAATGGTTAGTCAGAAATGTATACTTACTTCTCCGGATTTAATCTTTTTGGCTAATGTTGTTGCACTATTAAGTAGCAATTGATTTTTGATTGGTGGAATTTTTGGTCGTTTCCTAAGGAAAATGAGGGCAAATATAGGACGGAGGAAAAAGTACAAGAAATGGACACTAATGTTGCATATGTCTATCAACATCATTTTTCTTGCCAATAAGAATGTAATTCCTCAAATAGTCGTCGAATTTTATGTGTTCTTGATGATATTTACTGTTGTTTAAAGTATGTAATCGTAATAAAATGTTTTCGGTCAGCATCAGCTCCTCCTCAATGTATATTCTACAAAATTAAGATCTAGGTGTTAATTAAAATATGGAGAGTGTTATACCAGGAAATACATTTTAAAAACATGCTTGCAAGGTTAAAATAAATAAACTTCATTATGAATGTAAAGAGCTTTTAGGAACAGCGGAATGTTTGCTATCAATTCACACTGCTACTTAAGTAAATTCAAGTACGGTAGCTGGATAAAATAAATACAGTAAAATGCTTACAAACGTTCCATGATACAACATGTTAAAGTACCTAGGGACATCATATCCAGTACCTTGGAACAGTTATGATTTCTTTTGAAATAATAACACTGATCGATAGAAGACTACACATGAGAAGATTTTAGTGTGTCAAGATGATTAAAGAACTGTTATTAAAATATGCAAAAATAGATTATTTATATAAATGAAAAAATAAACAAAAATCGTAATTTTAATAATAGACTTTTGTTTACAAGAATTACACATATAGACTTTTTATTCCTTTTTGTCTAATCGTGCACAGAGTTCATGGGTTCAACATTTCCAAAGTTGCATCTAATCCACTATTTGTACTGTAATCTTCTTTATATGATTAATAGCGAAAAACGCAGTCTTCATCTGCATTGTCTTTATTGATCGTATTGACTAGTAGAACTATATTGTTCTCGGACGAAGATGAAGAAATTGTTGTGCTTTCTTCTCAGAGCTTTAGATTTTTTCGTTATACATATATGCATACAAGTTACATATACCTTGAAACATGTTCTACGGTACACCATGTGTATATGTTCCTTAGTACTACGTCAAATAATTAAGATTGTACAGCCTATTGGTTATGTTTACAGCAATAAACAAATAATGCAATAATTACTCGTCAATGAATAAGGAGGAACGCGTCACAGAAGTTGTTTAAAAATCTTCAATAGATTCTCACATAAATAGAATAACACTGGCAGCGGGATATTTCCAATACGATAGTTACAACTTAACCGCATGTGACTACCACAACATTTGCCGACTACTACTAAAAACCAAATTCAAAGACGCGCTAGTGGCGAACTATTGACAAATTTCAAATAATCGTCGTTGGGTACCGGCATTAAATGAAAAATTAACACTGTTTCTAGGTACATTGTGCTAGATACGACACTGTCTCTACTTGGTCACTAGAGAATCAAGAAGTGTCATACAAATTGTATCATAGTATTCTGAGTCTTTATGTAAGAGTAAAAATTACATGTCAGTTACAATTTCATCAAAATAGAAGTTCAACGTGCTTTTATATTTTGACACCTCAGTGCTGATCTAACCCGCTCAAAATGAAACTAAAATTTCCAGTATCAATTTTGCACAAAAATTAGTAGCAGATAGGAAATAAAACATGAAATATTTGAAGTGATACAATTTTGATGACTCTGGTTTAGTATTTCTTATGTCAGAAATATGCGTATGTACACGAAAGAAAAAATTGAATTTTACCTTATGCTTATCTTTATTACATTATACAATATTGACTAAATTCTTTGAACTTTTAAAGCAATCAACACTTCGTCGACCATACGTTCGCGGTTTGATCGTTACAACTGATCTTATCGAGACGTTGCGATCGATTATGGAGATTCTGATAGTTCAGTTACGTCATTTGACGTGGATGACGTCTATTTACAGAATTGCGAACTTTATAAACTGTGCGTCGTGCGTTGCGATATGATTTACATAATTTAAGACGGAAACCTTTCGAGTCGAAAACATATTAATTTTTTAGGAATTTTTTCCTGGCGATACTGAACATCAAATAGAAATAATTCATATGTAGATACATAAAAACCGGATATTTTTAACCATATTTCTGTTAATCTTCATAACAAAAAAATGAGACTGTTGATCCATTTTAACGTTTAACCAGTTAAGTATCGCGACTTCCTTGAAAAATGTCAATCAGAAAATGTGCGTATGTGTTATAGTACAAAATGAAGTTTTAATGAAATGGAAGTTGTATTTTTTAATTGTATTACTTACAGGAATAAGCTTTTCAGTAACTGTCCTGATGTAAATAACGCGTAAACAAGAGATTTGTTTTAAAATATCTTGTTTAAGTTCATTCGTGTTAAAGGCGATTATCGCCGAAAAATATGAATGCGTAAACATGTTTAGCAATTGACTGTATCGCATTTTACTATCTTTTCTCCTTTGTTATGTGAATACACTATCGTTTCATCATTATCAATATACAAATGAGCATTTACAAAGAAAAGAACAACTACCTTGTTTATACTCTATACAGTTTTTTCGTAATAATTATTTTTATTCTCCTGTTTGTTCGCAATTATACTATTTTATAGGCCTCTAAATATTTAAAACATCTTACAATTTACAAGTATATTTTCGTCTTTCTTAAACAGAAAAGAAAAATTGCTGACAAATTTTTAATGAAACGGATAGGTGAAAGTCGTTCAACTAGATTATTGTTCATTGGTATGCTGTTATTAATCCAACTTTGCTGATAACGATCGCGGTTCGTTTTTATCAGTTCACTGTTTTCAATGAAAGAACCTGTCCACTGTGAATTAAACATTTTAATCAGTTAACCGTCGCGACTTCTTTTTAAATGTGTCTACCTAAAACGTGTCGTGAAAAGTATGCGATAAGAAAGACAAAGTATGCGTGACCGTTATATTTAAGAATTAAGTTGTAATAAAACAGCTGGTTAATTTTTTAATTTTATTACTTACAAGGTTTATCGGCAACTGTCTTGAGATCGTAATTAACCTCAAGTTCATTCGAAGTAAAGACAATTCTCGACATGTAACGGACATGGATTTATTCCATTGCATTATACCATCTTTTACCTTTTGTTCAGTAAACACGTTATCGCTCTACCATTATCTAAATGTCTAAATATATTTGTAAATGAAAGAACACCTACTATAGACCTACAGTTTTATCATAACAATTTTTTATACTTTTTTATTTGTCGTTTTGTCTAGGCGTCCAAATATCCAAATCATCATACAATTTACGAGTATAATTCAGTTTTCACTATACATAAAGTATGGCTATGTCTCCACGATGGGTATGTTCGTGAAAAATAACAAATTGGTAAAAGGGCTGAATTTATTTGATAAAGTTGATATTTTTCTTCGCAATAGTAAAACTATTGAATTACTCAAGAATTGTTAAATCTGACTCGATAGTCGACAGTTGCGTAATCATTTCACACGTATATACATACATAGTCAACCGCATAAAGGTCGATTCAGACTATACGACACGGATCGGCAACGTCACGTGCCGGTACCAACACGACAAAACATTAAACTATTCACACTATTCCCATTGACGGAACGTTCAGGTCGGTGCTGTTAAGTGTGAATAATTCCATTAAAGGTCTATTTACACACATCCGTAACGTGTCAGTTCTGTATCCGTACCGTATCACTAATGTCACGGAGCGGTGTCGGACGTGTGTGAACATGCCCATTCAAAAACAACAGAAGAATATTACAAAATCACTGACACTGATGGAACGTTAAGGAACTGAACGGATACGGAACTGACACGTAACGGATATGTGTAAATAGACCTTAAAACGCGTGTTTTAATGTTTTGTCGTGTCGGTGCCGGTACGTATCGTTGCCGGTCCGTGTCGTATAGTCTGAATCGACCTTAATCGTTCGTCCACCTACCAATTTTGGTACATGTACAAAGAAGAGAAAGAAAGAGAAAGAGAAAGTAAAACACAGAAAATTGAACAATATACATACATTATTGTTACAAAATAAAGTGACATTCTTTGAAATTCATAGTAGTTATACATAGCACAAAATTAAATGAAATATCATAATGAAAAATTTGTATGCAAGAGTATACGATATTGTCGGGATCATCCGGATACTGGTGTCATATTATTTTTTAGGATTCAAGATTGGCATCACAATAGACCATATAACGGTACACTAAAATGACTAAAAAAATATATGTTCTCGTTACATTTTAATAATCAAAAAGCAACAGGTTCTATGAGAATATTGTTATGTTTTATGTTTGGCATAACGAAAACTTTAAGAATTAACGAGTAACTTTAATATATAACAGGGTGTGTACAATACAAATGTCAACAAAGGTAATTAAATGTGTTCTTAGTTTCGGAACGTCAGTATTCAATCCGATCGCTTTCTTCTCGCTTTCTTCTCGCTGTCTTCTTGTTCCGGTCGCGAGCACCAACAGGCCTAGGATCCATCCAAAGGGTGCTCGCAACAATATATAATTTATTTACTATATTTCTCGACAAAAATTCCTAGATATCACTCGCGTATGTCAATGTTATCTTTAACTCTTTCCATACACTATGACATATCGTTGTTTGGTACTCTTGCCAAGTGCGAACAATGATATGTCGTTGCGTATATTATGTAGTGATTTTATGCATGTTGATTACGTTTAACTGGAAATTCCATATAATTTTATACATAGAATGACATTAAATGGGCGATTCCGTACATCAGTTACATCTGTACGTGTTATATACAACTAAAGATATTCAGTTGTAAAGTTTCGAATTGTAAATTGAGGGAATTAAGTGTGTAAAATCAAAAACTTTCTTCAACCATCTTTATTTATTTCCAAATATGTATCCAGGATGCGAAAAAAATGTTCAGCACTTTGGACATGTATTCGCCCAAAATTTCATAGCATTGAAAGGGTTAAGTAAATTAAACTAGGAACTTTTGATAGGATGTGTCACATGTTGTCGTAAATCGTAGAATGAAAATAAAACAAGCAAACTGCTTGAGCCCAGAAGCGTGGCCAGCTCCTTAGCCAAATGGATCCTGTTGGCGGACGAGGATGGATGAACACGTGGAATAGAAAATCTTGGCTATGAACGTAGCGTACGGTAGCAAGGTATTACACGAAAACGAAGAGAAGGCGAGGCTGAAATAAAAATGACGACTGGCATGAATTATTGCGGCAGCCGCCCGTGGCTTCCTATCCATTCAAAACGTCTTCCACATCAAAGGAGATGCAGCCAATGTAACTCTCCCCGTTGTTGAAACTTGTAACGATCTTAGGAATTCTACGATATTCAGATTATCCAATTTCTGGAAAACTGGGTTATTGAAATTTGGTGGAAATCTTTTTTGTTTAACGATGGCACTTATTTACAGCAAGATAGTTGTCGTTGATACATTGTTCAGGAGAATATATTAGTAAAATTAAATATATGGATGTAATAAGAAATTAAAATTAAATATAAAAAATAATCGTTGGAGGCAGATATAATTGTTACACCACCCTTCAAACATTTTCTTTTGGTCAGCAATACACAATAAATTTTGGTTTTAGGTTTTTCAGTTTTTATTGTTGTCATAGGAGCGAATTTTATTTAGTTAGCATATGTATTTAATCTGTTTCCGAAGCAGACCTGCATTAAAAAAAACGTACGATGTGAATATAGTTGCTAAAGACAAATTGTTTATATATACACACGTTCCCAAACAGTACAATAGAAATAAGGAATTAAAGTCATTTTCTGAAATGTTCTCTATAATGACCGACGCGCTTCGATACAGCGTTCCCTTTAATCAATTTTCATTCAGCCAATTTCAATTTGCCCATCTTTTTACAAGTACCATCAGAAAGAGGGAGAATGGGACTATAAAGTCATATTTTTCAGATTTTTAAATACATGTCCGGAATAAAATCATGGCATTTGTTTAAGACAATTAAAATAATTTTTATTTGATAGTTCCATATCTTCACTATAAGCACGCAAAAGGTCAGTTGAATCCGTTGCCTAGTTCAACAGCTATATTTTTTTGAAAAAAAGGTATCACAAAACTTTGAACAGCTGTAAAATCGACAATTATCAAAATTTGTCAAAATACTTTGAAATACCTTCGAATATCACTAAAGACTACAACATATCCAAATTTCGTCAAAATCTGGGATGTTACTCCAAAAAGTGTCCGAGTTGCCATGGAATGACCCTATTTCTATTCATTGTACAAACAAACTATGTTGTTAATTTTTTAAACAATACTGTTTCGTTGATCTTTTAGATTACGAAGTTATAATAACTTACACGATGTAACGCTCGACGTACAATTAGTTATCTAAATATCAATATAGGAAGTATCTTGTCAGACATGAGCACGAGTTCATGAATTCAACACGTGTAAAAGTAATTAAAAAAGTTTCAGTAAAAGTTTTCCCCTCTCTGACTTTGTTTCGTTGTTACAGTCGTTTCTGGCGTTTCGATAACTCTAGTTTCGAACTCAGTTAGCGTAGAACGTTCAACTCGAGAATTTACAACTAACTTTTTGAACATGTCACGCTTTCGTAATTGTCAACGGTTAACTACTATATAATCACTTACAGGGTAATAAATTAAAGTTGATAAGTTACCATCCAATCGAAATGTTTGAATGCAGAGGGTCTTTGTCAATGCTAAATGATTATAAAGTTCTAATCACATAAAACCTACGTTACAGAACCACAAAAGTCATACTTACGCGCTACAAAATATGAATTCGCTTCTATTAAAGATCAAATCGTAAACCTATAATCAATCGACGGAATTGCAATCAAAGAATACACTTGTCTGATTGGAAATGTATTAGGTCCTAAAGCAATCA